AAAATGTTCCAAGAATTACAGGAGAAATGATGATTTTTATGCGACTTATGAGAACGAGCAAATAGCGCCTGCACACTTACGGGATCCTCAACAAGCCTTCTTCAGAGGGTTTTTTATACTGGAGGGAGCAAAACTGAAAAGAGAGAAAGGGAGGCCCAGAAAAACTGGAAGTTGAAGAAAGAGACTGACAGAAGGACATAAGGAAATGGGTTGAAAGAAAACCTGTGTACAACTTACGGGCGAGAATCAGAATTGGGAGCATGAGACACATTAAACCATATGCAGCCATGAGGTACTTAAAGAGGAGCTGCTATTAGTAGGAGTTATGCAAAACAATTGAGAGAGAAATATGAACGAATTTGTGAGTGCATTACCTATACTACCAGTTCCTGACGAGCATAAAGAACAGCTTAACTCCCCAGGAGTACTAGTGGAAATCAGAACTGCTATTCTGAGACTGAAAAAAGGGTTAATTACTAGTGTTCATTATTACCAAATTTGGGAGGGGGTGTATCCATGCACTTGTCCAAACTGTATAACTCAATATTAGCTGGAGGAAAATTCCAGAATTTTGGAATTTATCTAGAGGAATAGTTACACCAAAACAAGGGGAAGACCTTTCCCATCCCTTAGCAAATGGTCCAATTACATTACAAAATGGAGACCCATTTCGTTTTCTTCCATTTTGGCTCAAAGTTTGCACAGTTTCCTAGTGACTTAGACCCACACAGATCAGGATGGCTTGATATTAGCCCGACAAACGGCCGATGCGACCTGGGGAGTGCGAAACATGTGCTTTGCGGCAGCTGAGGAGAGACCGGAAATGGCAATGCTCTCGTTGGATGTGCTTCCAGCTGTGGATCGTGCGGAAGGGCACTGGGTCTGTTCAGTGGAGGGGAAAATGTATCTGGGCAAGCGACTTGTCAGAACTCTAAAATCCTTTATGGAGGAGCTTTTGCCAAAGTACGGATTAAGGACTTAGGATGAGAAATATTGGCGTTACACCAAGGGGTTGGACAGGGAGGCCCCTTGTCTCCATTAATATTTGCTATGCTCATGGAACCATTAGCTTCCAGCATAAGGAATAAGGATAATATTTCAGGCGTAACTATTAGGAATAAGCGGCACAGAATTAATGTTTATGAACACGATAGGTTTTTCTTTTTGAAGGACCTACGAGAAAGCTAAGGGCACATAATACTTAAAACATTGAAAGATCATTGAAAGTGAAAAGAAGTTAATCAAATGCATTTTAATTAATTAAAATATTAAAACAATTGCTGCAACATTCTAACGGTCACATGGGATTAAAAATTAAGGATCAAATATTTAAATTATTGTGCATAAATACCCATAGTTCAGAACAAAGGGTGATTAAAGCAATGTCTGGCTTAGACCTGTGCTCTTCCAGTTTTAGATGGTTGGCAATTGGGCGAACAAAGAGTATAAAGCGATTGTCATATGGAAATTATATGTATATGTATAATGAACTAAGAGAGAAAGTTAGGAAATGCAATACATTAAAATTTTCATGATTAGGGAGAATTGTGGTGGTAAGAGCTCATATTCTGCCAAAAATTTTATTTTTGTTCCAAAAACTACCATTGCAATCAGAATTGAAAAAGTTGTGCAAACTCCCTTGCCTTCCAGTAACCTATCCCAGGAGTCTTTTCCCAGGTAAGGCCACTTTCATAGGAAAAACGGATCTTTCCTTCTCTTCTCCCAGCTGTTCAATGTAGACCCCGTGATGTGCCCCTCCCAGAGCATGCAGAAGCTGCCATTGGTGCAAAACGTGGCTGAAAATGCACAATATTGCAACCCGGCACTGTCAGGTACCCCAGTCACTGTTGCGGTCCTGAGAGAACTGCACACACCCCTTCTCCCGTGCAATTCATGGTGGTGGCTTTAACATTTAAAGCCCAAGATGCCTTAGGGGTTAGCTTTCTAAAGGTGTTGCATGTCTCAAAGTTACACCTGCTGGGTTGTGAAGACCTGCAGGAAAAGGCCCTTTTGAGGGCCTGTTGTCTTGCCTGCAAACTCGGGAATGCCTTCTCCAAAACGATTGTGTTCCCCCTTCCACTTCTTTGGTCCTTAGCAAGGGTGCCATGCCTGATCTTTTCAGCTCTTTGTGTGTTAATATGGGTGTGTCCATTTTTAACATTGTTTTAAGGGGTTTTAAAGTGGTTGAAAGCTTAAATCGTGATGATAAAAGATTCATGAAAAATTTTCCCCATCCATTGAGGACATAGCCATTTCTATTCCTTTGTTCAAATGGTACCTTTGAAGGGCCTAGAAATCCCTCCCTTAAACACTCTTAGCAAAAGCAGACTCCAAATGTGGTATGGATTTCCAAAAGCCAGGCCACTGTGTCCCAAGAGGCTCGTGCGTGTTGAGCTCGACCCTTTAGGAAGAGCTCCTTCGGCCACCTTTGCAATCAAGCTTTGCAAAATTCATGACCTTAAACTGGGCCCTCCCATTAAGTCATTTCAAATGGGACTTGATTCTGGAGCTACATGAGTGAGAGCCACAAGGTCTACCACAAGTTCTTGGAAAACAACAAGATCTTTCTTGACAAAATGTTCAAGTATGCAAAGAAATATACACATAAGGGGGCTTTATTAAGGAATTCTCACTGCATAGAAACAGATTAACCTTGGAGTAGTGTTCCAAAGGCTTAGCAGAGCGGGGAAGTGGGGACCAGATGCCCGTGGGGGGAGTGCTGACCACCATGGCAATGGTAGCCCCTCGGACACCTTCCTTGCCCACCCCCAGAGACAAGCAAGTCACGGCTCTGCCCGGGCACGTACATCAATTCTGTTCCTGTCTCCTTTTCTTTGACGCAGCAGTGGGTAAGTTGCAACTACCCATTTCCTGCCTCAACCGTGCCACTTGCCCTCAGGTTTCTTCCTCAACCCTAACCCTGTTCTAATTTTGTAGGAAGTAACCAGCCAGAAGACTATTTTAGTCTCCGTGCAAGAGAAAGACGCATTCCTGGGTGTTTCTTGAAGAGCATCGGAGGGAATCACCTTTCTCCCAAACAGCAAGTCCTGCTGCAGAAATTCAGCCCACCCGCCCATTGGGCCAAGGGGCCAAGCAGCCCAGCCTGGACCGGATATACCCTGGCCTGTGCCAGAGCCCTCGTTCCAGCTGCCTGAGCAGTCTGGCCATTCCCCAAGTCCGGAGAAAGGGGGAAGCATGGAGTCCGGTCTCCTGCGGAACTGCGCTACTTCCCCTTCACCTGCTGCAGGTAGGATGGCAGGAGGGGAGCAAGGACCTCCAAGAGCAGGGAAACCACCAGGCGATGCAGTGGCTGGGCGAGGCGGCAATTCCCGAGGCGCTTGGCACTCCGAAGGACCCAGGTGTGCTGCGCCCGCCGCGCCCTTTTGCTTTCCCAACCCTCCCCAGAAGCAGCTGAATCCCAGCATCGGGAGCAGGCAGAAAGCCGGTCCCCCGACTCCTCGCACTTTGGGTCCCAGCATTCCTGCCACTGGCATGCCGGCAGGGTCTTCCTGGAGATCCCAAACATCTGGAGATCTACTGTTGCCCCTCCTCTGCCCCATGTAACCCAGAAATTTAGAGGAGGAAAAAAGGGAGACAAACTCTTCTTAGATTTAAGGCAAGCCACTCCAAAGATTCTGGGAATATGTAGGAGAGCCCCGCCAAAAGGGGTGCCCTCCCAGTACCACAGGCTACAGGAGCTGAAGCTAATGAGAGCTATCACCCAACACAACTGGGGAATTACTGTCTGGATTGCACCGGGTTGAGGGGGCACCTTAGATGCTGCCAATGGCTTAATTTTGGCAGGTCCCCTTTCAGTGCTTTTGTGCTCTGCTCCATCCCTTGGCACCCCCCCCCCCCGCAAGATGCACCAGTTTGCTCTGCCCCCCTGGCCAGTTTGTGCAGCTTTCTGCAGCCTGCAGGGCTGGCTTCCTATGGGAGATGTGAAGGCCCCGATGGAGGACTCTCGGAAGAAACTCAGCCTTCAGCCTGAGCAGCCCCCGTGTGGAATCGCTCCCTGATTTTGCGGGTACCACTCGCAATGTATGGCTTTGCTGCCCCTCGGGCTTTGGTTGGCTGGTGGTGTGGGAGAGCACGAAGCGCCTTCCAAGGACTGTATCACCATCCGACTCAAGCATGTGGGGGGGGATCCCTTTTCTGAATGCCCCCTCAGCAGACGATTCCCCCTGCCGGTGGGCAAGTGTGACTACCCTCCGTTCAGCAGGGAGGCATGAGCAAGAACTTCACCTCCGAAGGGCCACCCAGTTTTTGCTTACTTGCAGGAGGGGCAGCGGTCCAGCCGCCTGGAGCACTGGCGTCCAGCATGGAGACCTCCTCCGACCGGCTGCGGCTGGGAATTGCGTGAACTGCAGGACAACGCAGCTGGCAGGCACAGGCGGGTAGAAGCCTGCAAGGGAACTTACAGAAGCACCGTTCACGTGGAACCGCTCTGGTCTGGTAACTGCTTTCTGTGACCAAGCGTTGCACCTTTGCACCCATTTCCATCTTGACTGCAACGCAAGTTTTGCAGAATGTGTTCTGCCGCCACTCCCTGTTGCACCTGAACCTGGTGAAGGAACAGTGGCTGAACCTTGATTTCGATTGCAAACCGCTTTCTTCCCCAGCCTGGAGCCCTCCAAATGCATTAAGGCGCGCACACTGATTCCAGACTGACTGGGAATCATGGGGGTTGCGGTCCATCTCGTCGGGAAGGTGCCAGGTTGAAAGAGTTCAGAGGAGGACATTCAGAAACGCAATACTCTCTGTGTGTGTCACCTGCGTACAGAGAGAAGGGACAGGACTGCTCCCCAATTCACCGTGCTCTTACAAATGCAGAGCTGGCTTTGGGGGGCCCTGTGTCTGCCCTGCTGGGAAAGCCAGGAAAAAATGCTTGCTGAAGGACCGAAGAATGTTCTCCATGCCATAATATCCCTGATCCAACCCTGTTCTTCTCCCCAGCCCAACGGAAGAGAGAGTGAGCACATGGCACATGTGAATTATCTTTATATTTGTTGTGTGGTTTTTATGTTTTTTTAAAAAAAGCGTAAGGTCAAACCATGAGAAGGCACTTGAAAGTGTTAAGGCCACAAAAGAGCAAAGGAAGGAATTTTTCTGCCCACGTTCCTTCCCTCCACTCCACCTCAAACAGGCAGCAACGGACATCCTCTGCCCATGAATGCACCCTCTTAATACTGTTAATGAATGACACAATTCCAGGACGGCCCAACTTTGGGACAAGAGTCCAAGCATCCCCCAAGCACCAGATAAGCTGCTGTGGGACGAGATTCTATAAAGCAAAACCCCAATGGTGGAGGCAGAAGCCAAACCCAATCACTTCCAGGTCTTATCCAGCCCTTTCCACAACAAACGGTTCCAGTGTTTCCTAGTCTTAGCCTCCAGCTTTTAAAAAGAAAAAAAAAGTCTACCCTAGAAGACATTTATGCATGTCAAACGAATTAGCTACCCCTGAAGAAGTCACCCTTATGGAGCAAAATAGGCACTCCAGGCTCGACTTCCAGTTGGGCATGTTCAGGAATGGCAAAGGGGATTTTAAAAAGGAGCATCTCCCCTGCCGAAGCATCTTCAGCATGAATCCCTCCCCAGGATTCAGGCTGCGCATAGGATGAAAGACCCAACCGAAGGGGCTGAAAAAGCCCGGCCCGGATTTGGCAATGCTGGATTCCGGCGGCTGCTTTCCCATTCAGCAGGTGGGAGGAGTTGACCCAAAGCTTCCCTCTTGGGAGCCCAGAACAGCTCCCCCGGCCGGAGAGGCGCCACTTGCTCTCTGCAAAACCTGCAGCCCTTTTCACACAGAGCAAGGTGCAGGGTGGCCTCCTCCTTGTTCCAGGAGCGCCCGTGTCTGGCACGCCGGGACAGGATCCGGTCACACGTCTCTCTAAACAGGCACTGCGGTCGGCACAGCCCAGTGGCTATCTCCCGCTCTCCTGGCGTTTCTGGAGCACCTCGGTGACGTTATCAATGCCCTCCTCTGGGACCTACAAGAGCAGAGAAACACAGGTGCAATTGCAACAGTGACAGCTCCATCAGAGGCAACACTGAAGGGTGCGTTACTAGATTAAAGACTAAAAATGAAAACTCTTGTAAGAACCTGTTGGTCACGTTGGGGGAAACTAATCAAAGACCATCAAGAACTGAATCGCTTCATAAAATTTGCAGCTATGCTTCTTAACCCTCACAGATCATCTCCTTCAAGATATACCTGCTCAGACCCTAAGGTCGTCTTCAGAACCCCATCTCTGCCTCTGCCAAATGAGGTGAGGGCATGGCTTCTAAGGACAGGGCCTTTTCGGGGTGGCCCCATGACTGTGAAACATCCTCCCCAGAAAGGCCCTCTTGGTACCTACATTACAGCCTTTTTGATGCTAGGTGAGGAATCTTTAAATAGAGGTACACATTTTTCAAGAGCATAGATCTTCACAGGCACATTTTCAAAGTGTCACACACAATCCAAACACATTTTGGGCATCCATGAATCACACAGACACTGACCCCCAAAAGCAAGGATGCAATTCCTCCCACAGCCACGTTCCACTTTGGGGACGATTTGGGGGCTGCAATCACTGCAGGGTGCGGCTGAAAAGGGAGCAGGACACTATCAAAAGTATCAGTGCATTTTAACAGAGCTCTTAGTACCGGGAACTAAACCTTAGGAGAGGCATTTTACTAGTTTAAAAGCAGAAGTTTCATTGAGAAGCACAAAATCTGAGCAACCCCAACTGGTGGCTGATGGAAAGGCAGTGGGAAGCCAGCAGAACAAAGTGTGGCCAGAAGGTCAGACTGGGACTCCCTGGAGGGCTCTCAGCCTGAGATTCCTCATCTCTGCTCTAGGGGATTCCCTCTAAACATGCTACCTTAACTACAGAAGAGAAATACTCCAGTGTTGCCCCTGTGATTACCCTTCAGTTCAAGGATGTGAGTTTTGTTACATAAGCCAAACGAAGTTCTTGACGCCCCGTCTCAGGTAGAAGCAGTGGATACTCTTCAGTACTCCTCTCCCCCAACAAAACATGAACATCTATATCCAAATATATTGTCTCACAAAGGATCCTTTCCTTCCTGGACTAACCAAAAATGCAGACAGAAATCCTATCACGGCCACCACCATCCATTTGTCCCAGCCCATCCGTGATGCTGATGACAGCTAATTCGAAAGCTGCTGGCGATTTCCACAGGGCAGCTCAGTCTGCCTCATCATGGCACCCTCCCGATGGTACCAACACCAACTTCCACCAGCATCAAGCACAGTCAAAGGTCAGGAATTGCAGGCACTGTAGTCTAGGACATACAGACGCCACGAGGTTACCCACCTCTGCTCTTGGACAGGTTTCTGCAGCTTGGATGTGCTCCAGACTACCATCGACCAGCACTTCTGACCGTAGACCATGCTGGCTGAAACTGATAGGAGAGGTAGTCCAAAACAACTTCAGGTCTCCTCTGGTGGAGGGCTGCATCCATTTATCATTTAGTAAGGATGCACATGGTGTTTTGGGGAATCCCACCAGATGGATTAGGGAGTGTGCACTGAATTACTGAATTCTGGAAGATTTCAAGGGCCACTGGGATTAAGGGGTCAATGGGTGGGGTCAATGGGTGGGGTCAATGAGGAATCGTAACATTGCACTTTGGTGGGAGTTCGAAAGTACAGGAATAAGGTGGACCACACAGAAACCTTGGCTCAAAAGTGCCTTTGTTGCATCTCTTCGCCAAGGAGCCGCAGGGCATTTCGAAGGTCACCTGGCTGACTTACCAAGGCATGGTCAAAATTGAAAGTGCTGATATAGTAAGCAGGTATATCTGCGTCGGCCAAAGGTTCCGCGATCTGAGCCACAATCCCACACTCATCTGCGGAACAAAATAGGGGAACGTTAGCCGGGGGTCAGGACGTGCCCAACCGCAATCCTGGCAAAGCACCTGGGAGCCAAGTTCCAGTGCTGGGTGGGACGGAAGAGGCGAGGCCAAAATACTCATCTGTTTTAGTGTAAAGTTCTTCCTGCTGGGAACGAAGGCTCGGAAGAGAGATCTCAATCTCCAAGTGGGGAAAACTACCCAGGAGTTGGGAAACCACCAAATGCCGGCTGGATAGGCCAAAGTGGGAAAGGGGAGCAAAAGCAAACACATCCCAAGTCCCAATGGAGGGTCCAAAGGGATGATGGTTTGGTTTGGTCATCTCCCCAAAGGATGATGTGATCTTTGGTCTCAGTGGTGAGGGTGCGGAGAGGGATTTTACAGCTGGAAATAGAACCTCTGTCATTCTGGGCAATTGGTCCAGAAGACAAACAAGGCCTACAAGCCCTGCATGCCACTAGTTCCCAGTTTTTTTCTGTCTCAACTTATTTTTTATTAGATTTATATTCCTTTACATCATTCTCCTCCTCCTGCTCACAACAACCCTGTGAGGTAGGCTAGGCTGAGAATCTGTGACTGGCTCACCCAGATGGCTCCATGGCTGAGCAGGGACTAAAACCCGGATTACCTGCACCCCAGACCCATGCTCTTAATCACTAGATCACACTCACCTTGGATTGTACCCTAAGTACATGTCGTGAGCGGAGCTGGCTGGAGCCAGCGGTCAGACTAGATGGCCCGGGAGACCCCTTCTGACTTGCTCTGTTTCTATGTCTCTATGTTACAGAGCTCTTTTGCCATGTTCAGTCTGGCCTCCCCTTTCTTTCTCTTCCTCCCTGTGCTGAATCCTGGAGCGGGAACCTGCCTCTTTGTGGTTTCCCTGAGAAATGCCACACGGCGGTGTTTTAATGATGGTGATGCAATCAAAGTAACGCTCGGTGCAGCAGCAGTTTCTCAGCCTAGCTTGTTCTACAGGTAGACAAAACTGCTCCAGGGGAATGTGGGTTGCAAACTTTATATGTGCAAGGAAAGGCTTTCCAGGTATCCTGACATGCAAAAAAATACCTCACAGGAATGAATCCATAATACTAAAGCAGCCACAGAAACAAGATGCCTTGAATTACTATTGAATTAATAATTTAATGCAGCAGCCCTACTTACCCGGTACCTACTTGAAGAAAAGGAAAGAGGGTTCAAAAGGGGCTTTTGCCAGACTTCCCTGTCTGGTCGCCTGGGGGAGAGACTCACTCACCCCAAGTGATCAGACAAGAAGCCACAAGCTCTGCTTCCTGGAACTTGCTGCCGGTTAGCAGGTCTATCGTGCACTTGGAAAGCTGCCTGGAGGGTGCAGAGGGGAGGAAAGGGTACTGTCCACTCACCAAAGCCGAGGGGCTGCCCGCCTATTCTCACCATCCTCCAGAGCTCTCCCGAGGAGCTGGTCAGCAGCAGGTCGCTGGGGAACCTGGGAGAAGGCAGGACGGTTGGCGTAGGGGCACGTGAGCGATCCCGCCTGGAGGTGTGAGCCTTCCTCGGCTCCGCTCGCTCTCCAGACTCTGGCCCGCTCTCTCTCTTCCCTACGCGGCCTCCCACCACGTGTGGGTGTGGGGGACCGGCAGGAAGCGCTCCAAGCCGCGTTCCGCTTCCACACACATGAACTGCAGGCTTTCTGCAAAGAATTACCTAACACAGAACCGCGTGCCTTGCACAAGGAACCCGCTAGTGCCTGTGAGCATTCGCAGACCTGAGCTCAGCCTGGCCCGCTTCCTGGCCAGGGCTGAGCGTGGGAAGGAAATCCCACCCGTGCGGGAGAGAGGGATCCGGACCTGATCTTGGCCCCCCCGGACGGCTGCACGACCGGCCAGCGCCTTCTCGGATGCAGCGAGCGACCGTAGCCTGAGTCACCGGGCCTCCCACGGAGGCAGCCACGAGGCAGGGCTGCGAGCCACGCCCCACGTCCTCTGGCACACTCTGCACGCCCCTGGGCTCGGCGGCCACCCCGTGACCGTCACTCCCCGGCGGCGGAGGAACCCAGCCGACCACGAGTCCAGCCGGTCCCGCCCTCCAGCCTGCGTTTCTCACCCCCACACAGTTTGCCCGCCGTTGGCCAGGCGGGTCTAGAAATCCCAAACTGTACACCAGGACAAGCGAGAGAGCGGGCTGAGTCCCGACCCCTCCGTTGCTTCCTCTGAATTAATCACCCTGCAATGCTCCATCCCTGGATTCTTTACTGCAATGTCCGAAGGCAGAGTTCCTCATGTCACTTGATAATCCCAAGTCGGAACCCACGGCTTCAGCTCATGGCGAAACCTGCATTTCAGCCTGGCGCTATCTCTCCTGCAACCTCTCAGAAGCCTGGATTTGGTCCTCCAACAGACTACCAGGGAGGGAACCTGGCTGAGTGCACGAGGGCCTTAGGGAGGGAGCCAAAACCAGCCACTTGTTCACGTGTATCTCTCTGTTCTTTAAGGAAATGGGCTTCTCACGAATTGCCCAGGTAAATCTCACATGTGAGCACAGAGGCGGGCAACAAGCCGGCTAGTTAGAGTGGACTGCTGGCCACCATCACGGGGGACTCCTGGCCTTTCCGAGACCCCCCACTTTATGCAAGCAGATCGTGCCCCACGGCCTAGCGGCCCTGGGTGACGGCAGCCACCTGCACTCAGATGCTGGCCAATCAGCAGCGCCACATCAGTCCCAGGGATGCAGGGATGCAGCACACCTGGACTAACCCTTCCCTCTGCCGCTTTCGGCACCAGGCAAAGGCCTATCTTAACAGTTAAGCTCATTTTTACAGTTTTTTTTATACGGCATGTATTTTATTTTATTTTAGTGCTACTAGCTTAATCTGAACTGTCGCTGTTGTGGGGTTTTCTTGTTGCTGTTTTATTCTTTTAAGCATTTGTGCTAGATTTCTTTATTATGTATTTGCTGCTTTAGATTTCTGTAAGCTACCCAGAGAGTCGTCTTGGCTAATGGAGGGGCTAGAAGTCTAATAAAATAAATAAACAGACCTCTGCACTGAACCTCCATGCAAGTCTGGGATGGGCCAGCAAGAGACCCTGTCAGAAACCTCAGGCGAGCTGCAGTCTATTAACTCAATCACAAATAAAGCTAAATGTTTTATTTTAAAATGCTTGCACAGTGCTTACAGTTGCTTCTAATAACCACATTTTTTGGCAATTCCTACTAGAAAAGTAGTTCATCCGTGGTTGTGGTGCAGGCGATCATCCCAATGTCAAAAGCGTCTTTTTGCCTTTTTAAAAATAGAGGGGCACATATGTTGCAACCACGTCAAGTTAGAAACGGCTCTTCCGCGTGTGGGTGGGAAGGAAAGGCCACTACAACAGTGCTTGCAATCCACCACTTTTATAGGAACTTTTGTTAAAAACAGCTATTAAAAAAAATCTACTGGCCCTGCTGGGGAGAAGGACACTCTTTTAGCTGCCTGAGTACAGAACTAGTTTCCTTGGATCGCATTTTCCCCCTCACCTGTCACCTGTCCCTTTTAAGTGGAGATGTGTAAGGATTAAACCGGGCACTTCAACCTCCAGGATCGGACTGTGGGGTACCCCACTGACTTCAGCTCTCTCCCAAACAACCTCGTGCCGCAGATGGAAAATCCTGTTTATTGGACGACAACCAATACTTAAGGGTATATGCCCTCATGCCCCTAAAGATTGGCAGGGGAGGCCTTAGTCTGGGAACCCTCTTTGGGGGGAGGTACGGAGGGTATCCACGCGGGGGAGGGCCTTCTCTGCGGAGGCACCCAGACTGTGGAACATGCTCCCCAGAGGGGTCTGCCTAGCGCCCACCCTCTACTCTTTTCGGCACCTGGTAAAGACCTTTTTATTTAACCTTCACTTTAACAACTAATACTATTATATTAATACCGCTGATTTGTATAGCTGCATTTTTATCTTTTATTATTTTTATTAATTAAGAGAGGATATATTGTGGAATGTTTTTATGTTATTTATAATATTATATTGGTATGTATTTTGGAATTTTATTCGTGTAAGCCGTCCTGAGGCTCTGGCAAAGGATGGCATACAAATGCCTTAAATAAATAAATACTTAAGTGCAAACACGGACTCCGGAGGAGATGCAATTCATCCAGTCACAAAGAAGTTGTCGATTCAGTATTCCCTAGCAGCAAACTCGCTCCCCCACCCCTGAGCCTCGCCCTCAGCCCCCCTAACTTACTTCTTCTTCGTCTCAGCATCCATAACAATGGAGATGTAGCCCTCGATCAGCGAAAAGGCAAAGAAAGTAATGGAGTCGAGATCTTGTCCATTTGGAGTGTTTTCCTTCGGCGGACTGAAAATGCAGGGCAGGGAGAGTTGGGGAGGAGAGAGAATTTAATCAGCTGCCAAAGGAAAACAAGAATACTGGCATTCCTCAGAGCTGTGCAGGACGGAGCCAGCCACCTGTCCAGAAACTATGGCCTCCGTGAGAAACGCGATTTCAGTCCATCGATCTTTCTTTGCATCAGCCACAGGCCTTTACATATAAATGTACAGAAATAAGAACAAATACAATATACCAAGCTAAAATTACCTTAAACCTTCTGTGATTTATATTAGATACCAGTACCAAAATTATTGGTTAATTCATCGTGCAGAGCCGCTCAGAATCTTATATGAATTAGAGCTCTGAAACAAAAGATCTTATTTTAAAGCACCAGCTAGGAATCAAACTGGTTGGCCTGGAAGAGGAATCAGTAGGGGAGTAATCACTGCAGTCCTTAGATCTTTACAGAGATTTCAAAAATTATTTTGAATGGAGATATTGCCACCTCCAAATGGACATAAAGACCTGAGCTATTGCCACCTCCAAATGGACATAAGCGATTTCCCAAAGGATGCTTTTAAATCAGCCCTCAAGTACAGCTGATGGCGGCATACATAAAAGCTCATCTGCATTTCAGAACTGTCAGATTTTGCAGATATGATGCCGATGTGTCAAGGGACCTAAGTGAAAAAATTTTTTGTAAGAGCCAAATTGTTCTGCTGTTCCATATCAAACATACACTGCTTGGTTAAGGCTGAGTCCTAAGGCTCAGTTTGGACCTCAGTGACTGAGCAACTCAGCCCCGACGGCTTGCCCCCGGTGGGAGTGCTTCCCTGGCCTGTCGCTGCAACACGGCCTGCCCCGAGGGCTGGCCTGCAACCCCAGCACTCTGCCCAGCCGTGGCTGGGGCAGACCCCGTACCTGTGCGAGTAGAAAAGGACATCAATGAGGATCGTGGCGATCGCGGGCAAGGAGTCAGGCACGATGCTCATGATGCAGAAGCGGTTCTGGGGACTCTGCACGGGGTGGACGGTGGCATTCGCCCCTGCGAAGAGCAGAGGGCACATCAGCACCCACACGACGTTCACTGGCCACTCCCAAGAGATGGTCCTGGAACAAGCAGCCAGTCGCTGGCTGCATTCCATGTTTGGTCCTGCCTGTCACCCTGCTCATATTTTGCTTGTAAACTGTCCCGAGCACTTTTGCTATTGGCCAGCGGACAGGCGAGCAAGCTGCATTATGTCAAAAGATTCTACCAAGCCCTACGTCCCTTTTTCCAGCAGTATCCCAGACCAGACATTCTAACATCACGCAGCATCAGCAAAGCATTCTTCCCAGGACCGCTCCCTCGCTGCAAATTCTGGTCACAGGCAGCGGCCACTGCTAAGCCGCGGGAGTGGAAAGCATTGTGTTTTCTGCCTTATCTGGAAACCTCACCCAAAAGCTTCTGAGTTACAACTGCTCCGAGGTTAAAGTGAGCCACAAGGTTTAACTCTGTTGCCAGAGGCTTGAATTGGATGAGGGGTTTTTGATCAAACCATCTGTATTAATTGGTTTACCAGTGTTACCGGCAGCTGCTCTGAAAATATCTGCTCGTCCTAATGTGGCTGCCACAGTAGTCTTTGCACGAATTCGCCTTCTGAACTCACAGTTTCCACTTCCCCACATCACCAGCACCATGCACTTTGCATGAAAAGGCCGAAACTCTCCAGACTGCCAAGGCTGCGAGAGATCAAATCTACCCAACACATTTTTGGTCAGAATAATGTCACCTTTAGGGTGACACAAACCCCTTTGTGGTTTTGGGTGGCAACAGACCAACACAGCAGCCCCACTGGAAACAGAAACTTGCTTTATAGGGACAGATCTGATTCAATAGCGATCATTTCCATCTTTGAAATGGGGAAAAAAGAAGCCTCCCGAAATGAGCTTGGCGTGCAAGATAAATCCTACGAGGAAGGAAATGTAGTCATGCGATGCAATCCTATGATAATCAATGCAGTCATATGATTACTGGTCTGACCCTCTGCTCTTCTGCTCCACGCCCCATTTCTGAAACTGCCGCACTGGTCACAGCTCCCTTTTGGGGCCGAACCCAAACCGGGCAGAGAGCGGTGGCTTAACCTGGCGTCAGAATGGTAGTAATGCTGGGGTCGTGCACGCACACTCTGACGAGATCCCCAGGCACGCAGGAGAGACGGCCTGTTCTGGTGGGATGGATAGCTCAGGCTCGGAGGATGACGCGGGAAAGGCCGAACCAGAACAGGCTCAGAGCTCACGCTCCGAGAACCGAGTTGTTGGAACGGAGAGGCCTGCACCTGCACTGGAGGAAAGCAGCCCAAGGACGCCCACCCACGGGGCCCAGCTCCCTCCCGCCTGTGGGAATGGACCAGACAAAGGACGGGAGGGGGCGATGTGGAACTGGGCGGCCTCTGGGGCGGAGAGCGCCAGGCGTGGACCTGAGGGCCCGTCGTCACAGCCGCAGGCCGGACCTGCTAGGGGCTCGGAGCGCAGAACGCAGGAGTGCGCGTTTTCACAGTGCCTCCCCTTCCAGAGACTGGCCCAGAAGGGTTCATAAGCAAAGCTTTGGTGAAGTGGGGCAGAGCTGGCCCCACACTTCTCCTTGTATATGCTCAGAGACTTGCGAATGCTTGAAGTCTTCTGTGTAGAATAAAGGCTCTCACAAGACGTGCTGGACAGACTGCAATGCATGGGAGGGGGCTCCCAGCTTATGGCAGCTGGCCCTGGCGGAGCCTCAGTGGGGGGAGTATTCCACAACTGGGGACGCCACCAAAAGGCCCTCTAACTTGACATCCTGAGAGCCCACCGGGGGAGGCCCTCTCAAGCAGAGCACTGGATGTTTGCTGCAGTCGGAGCTACGAACCAGCAAGAACACCCGGGGGGGGGGGGGGGGAGAGTCACCTTGCTTTGGCCTAAGGAACCCGTTGCTCGCATCTTCACAGTTTGCAGGGACTGGCTCCCCGTTCACTTCCTTGTAAATATCGAACTCACTTGCCAGGGTATGAATGACGACAGGCAGGTCCTTCTCCCGCACCTGGAAGACAGAGGAGAGCTCACTGGGGGCACAGATCCACAAAGCTTCCCAGCTCAACACAACCTCGGGCACAAAGCGCAGCTCGGGCACAGCCCCAGCAGGCATCGGACGCTGGGCCGCAGGAGCTGCCGCCATCACCTCCTCGTCCCACCGGGCATTTCCACTCGGCTGGCGTTTTTGCCCATCCAGCTGGAACGCCTCGGCGGGAGAGAAGGGCGCGTCCTGGCCGCTCCGGTCGCCTACACAAGAACACCGGAAGGAACACGCTGGACGGGGCCAGGGGCCATCCAGTCCTCTGTTCACAGCCGGTCAACCAGCTGCCCAGAAGATCCCGCAAGGAGTACAGGAGTGCAAGAGCTTCCTCCTAGCACAGCCTCCATGTATCTGGTCAATCTCCTTTTACAGCTGTGTAAATGGACAGCTATCACTACTGGAATTCCAGAATTTCACTCTGTGCAAGGCCTTCCTTCCATCTTCCCGGGATCCCCCACCAGCCAGCTTCCCAGGATGGCCCCTTTGGGATCCAGTATCAAGGAAACCAGAGAAAAACGCCTCCCTCTCCACTTCCTTCATGCCACGCACCCTTCTGTGCACCTGCCGTGTCACCCCTTTCTAGCCTTATTCCCAAGAGAAACCTTCTCAACGGGCAGCCCTTTTCCTCGCAGGGACGATGGGCCAAACCCCCAAGCCTTTTCCCCGCCCTTATCTCTATCCAAACCCAAAGGAGACAGGGCCTGGGAAGCAGGACGTGTGGAGACCCCCAGGGAGGCTGGGCTGAGGCCCCAGCGAAGAGGAGGAGGTCCTTGACCCCTGCTCCAGGAGGCGACCCGGGGCTCACCAGGATGAAGTCGGTCTGGTAGGTGGACAGCATGAGCACCGAGACGTTGTGTTCCGCCAGTGGCGCGATGACGGACTTGGCGATCTTGGTGACGCCGATGGGCTGCAGGCTGGCGGAGGAGCTGCCGTTGGACGAGACGTTCAGCACCAGCCACGTGGAGTCGACCACCTGCAGGAACTCGGAGGGGGGCAGCTCTGGCCAGGAGGAAAGAGGAGAGCCGGGGATCAGCCACGGAAGGGAAGCTCCCGGTGAAGGCCGCCACATGAGCAGGGCTTCAGGAAAGTGGAAGGCGGAGGGGAGGCCCATGAAGAGAAGGACTGCCTCCCTCAAGGAGGCCACGGACAGGGCTGCCACGGATGGGACATTTTGAGGGCTTTTATTCACAGGGTAGCCTAAGTTGGAAATGAGTTGACAGCACGTAACAGTAACAGCAGCAACAAGAGAGCTACTTCCTTTTGTAAAATCTAAGTTAAATCTTAGGAAGAGCCATTTAACTAAGGGCTTTATTAATAGGCAGATTTGAACCAGCACAACCTCTGAAGATAAATGACATGCACTTGCTGTGAACCAGCCTTGTCCAACCTGGTGCCCTCCAGGCATGTTTACTAAAACTCCCATCAACCTCAGTCAGAACAGCGCTTCTCAGCAGGCTGGGGCGAATGGGAGGTGTAGTCAGTCACATCAAAGGGGAATGGTTCCACTCATAATAGCTCTGAATGCCATTTTTGGCACTCCTTTAGCTTTAGCCACGAAACCGATGCCATTTTAAGGAATCAAAAAGGGCTTTTTAAACTTGTTTTTCGCTAACTCCCCAGTCACCAGAGCATGTGGTCAGCCATACTCCAGTCCCACAGCACAGAAGTTGCCTACTCTTCTCTCCTCCACCACGGCTATTCCATGCTTTTCCAGCATTTTGACATTCCTGATATAGTCAAGCCAAACAAACACACAAGCACACAAAAAAGCCTATTTGCCAACCCTAATCAAGCAAAGGAATACTCTGACCATGTGCAGTTTTGCACGGCAAATGCACCCAAATCATGGCTCCATCAGGCCTACAAGGAATAAAACGGAGTTTGCTTCCTTTGCCCTGGTGCTCAGCACATTCATGTGGGAACAGCCACTGGTTTGTTGTAGGAAGAGAGCAGAAATTGCACAAAACAGCTTCAGTTTTTGCACACGTGCCTTCCTTCTTTGGCCCGATTCCTCCCGCTGCCAACCGATCCCTGATCAGGTTCTATTTCTTACCCCCTGCTCTTCTCGGACAGCTGGCCCGCAGGGTGCCGCCATGTCCCCATTTCCCTTCCCATAACCCAGGACGTAACCACAAGCCCCGTTCTCTGGGCTCAGCTTCGTCAGGGACGAGAGACAGAGCACAAACAGGCTTGCACAGACTCGCCAGGTCTGCATGACAAGCTCTCCACTCCAAATCCCTCTCCTGCTCTGGCCTTGCAAAGGGGTTCTTTGCCTGCCCGGACAGAAGGACGTTCAAGCCGCCACTGAGAGGGTGAATGGCTGCTTCGCACGAACCGCAAACAGAGGTCAGGCCAGTGCTCCGTTCACACGGAGGCAGCAACCCAGCGGCTCCCTGGAAGCAGCCGTGCACGGGCACAGCGCCTCTGATGCCCGAGAGCCAAGAAGGCCTGTGGCCACAGATTCTCCTCCGTGAATTCGTTCAGCCTCCTCCTGCAGCTGTGCCACGTGGTGGCTGTCAACACGTCCCCCGGAAGGGGACTCCGGATTTAACTGCACACTGTGGCAAGCGGCCCTTCCTTGGATCTGTCCCGAATCCCCCACCAAACAGCTGGGTTCTCACATCATGCGGGAGGGAGAGAACTGCACAGTGGCAACGACAAACATGGCCACGGCAAAGGGCTGAGCCCCTTCCACCCCGCCAGGTTCCCAGTCCAAACTGACTGCCCCCTGCCTGTTTTTTTTAAGCCTTTCACGGCATGTATGTACTTCTGAAATGTATAAACTGGCCATTAGACACAGGTATCATCATCATCATCAGGAAAACAATGCTGGTGCCAATCCTATCTTTTTTGGGAGGGCTTTCCGACGTCAAGGAATACCACGGAGAAGGCCTCTCCTTTGTAGATACGTAATTTGGCCTCCTGCAAGGATATCTGAAGGATCCGGGGAAGAACATCAAAAGGATCCAGGGACCTGAGATTTCCACGGGATGCAACGGTGGCCGGCAATTTCATTCATGGAAAAGGTTATTGTGTCCTGTTTGGTTTCCCACGGGGAGCAGCTTGCCCACGGTGTGAACAAACCCCCCAACAAGATGGGGCCTCAGTCTAACCTAGCAGTTTGGCAACAGAGCAATCTGACTCTGCTTCCTAGCGAAGAGACTGCCTCTGAGCACGCACAGAAGCCATTCCATTCCACTCCCTGCCAGCAGGTAACCCAGCGATCCGCGCAACCCCAGGACAAAGGGCCTTTGCTCGTTCTGTGGGTGGAAATTTCTACTTTCCAAAATTAAGCCAAGCAGTTTATTTTTGGATTGCACTTTTTAAAAAGAACGGCCGGCGGTCCAATGGGGCAAAAGGGCGAAGGAGAGTTTTAGTGAGTTAGGAAGCTTAACCGAATGTTGCTTTCCACAACTATGCTGGCATCCCGAGGAGAAGTTTGTTAAAGACTCACAGCTACTTGGCTCAGGGCCCACCTCCCTGCCAATGAACTCAGGCGCCTCAGGCACGCCTGCTCCCAAAACCGTCCGTTAGCTGGAGAGCTTTGCTCCCTCCAGGAGCCCAGGCCAAAACACACCTGGAGCCGGCCCTGGCGAAAAGGAGAGGCGACGTACACATCGCACCCTCGGCCGGCAGGGGCTAATTGGAAACACATGAGCGGCGCTGCTGGATGCAGCCCAGTGGTCCTCCCAGGGCCTATTTCTCGCAGGGGCCGGCTAGTGACTCCTGCGCTTCCTGACTCCGAGCAGGTTTACTGTGCTTTTCAGCCCAAGGAGTCGCCAAGCAGCTTAGCAAGACAGCCCAGGCCATCAGGCTTGCAAGCCAAAAGACACAGCACAAAAGGAAAAAGGGCTGGGAGGGAGGAGGAAAAAGAGGTCATTTCAGGCACCAGTTTCAAAGTTTGCAAAGGTGTTCTTCCTGGAAGGTGGTGGGTGAAGCTGCTCCCTCCAGCCAATGGGTACAGCTAAACCGGTCTTCCCCCAAGGTGCCTCCTTCTGTCTAGAATTTCCTCCCAATCGGTTTCAGTGGTTAACCCCACATTCTAGTGCGGTGGTAGGAAAGGCATGGTTATCTGGGGATGCTGGGAGTTGCAGTCAAACATATCTGAACAAGTCAGCCCCATTCCTCATGCAACCCTTACAAACCTCCATCAAAATGATAAACCTCAACTGTTGCCCTCCAGATGTCTCGGATCACAACTCCCCAAACATCCCAGCCCCATGCAGCCCGGGGCTGATGGGAGCTGTAATCCAAACTTCTGGAGGGCACCGGATTGCATTGTGTCTCTCCTTTCTCCCCTAAAAACTTACATGCTGCTGCAGATGGTCGCTACACCAGGAAGAGGCAAGCAAGTTAAAATTTATCACTGTCAGAAATGGCCTTTGTTGGAGCATATGCATAATTATGGGTACCATTTAAACATCAGATACACCGATCCATCAATCAAACAATCAAATCTCATGTGATAAACTGACAATTGATCAAATCTCATGTAAGAAAGCTATTACCTTGTTTTATTAATAGTTTTCATTAATAGTCGTGAGCAGAGCCAGCTGGAGCCGGGGGTCAGACTAGATGGCCCAGGAGACCCCTTCTGACTCGCTCTGTGTCTGTGTTTCAATTTTGTATGCATTTTGGCCTATTGAAGCTCAAAATAGGAATGGGGATGGCAAAAACGGCAGCTGGTCGGGGTCCCAGGTCCAAAGCACCCGGTTAGATGGCAGCTTCCATTGCAGGGGGAAGAACAGGGCAGCAAGTGAGAAAGAAGGCGCTGCCCAAGAGGCTGGGCTTCCGGGTGCCAACATGGCAGTGTTTATCTGCACACGCTCTGGGAACACAGGCAGGGGCTGCGTTTGCTTTTCGGAGCTGAAGCGAGGGCTTTCTGGGGTTTGTGTGTTCTGCAATTTCTGAGTTGGGACTTTAACACTCTCCACAATGCTCCACTGTTTTTATTTGGGTTGTTAGCTGCCCTGGACTCCTGGAGGAAGGACAGGATATCAGGATAAAGAAATACGTTTCTTGGCTGATGGGCAGGAAGGCGCTATAGGAAAGGGGTTAACTCAGAGCGAGGCCGAGGTGCGTGTCACACAATGGACGGCTGAGGTGCGTCTGAGCCGGGGGCCCTGTTGGTGGCCACAGCGGGAGGGACGGCGCAGGGTTAAACTGGCCCACGGCTCGGCTTCTCGGCTGGAGCAAATCGGGGCACAGAGCCAAGCCGGCTGGACCTCCAGGCCTCTCGGCAGTTAAAAATTACTTGCTCCGCTTTTCAGGTGGCTGCGTATCGTCATCTGCAGTTGGCAAACTGTAACTGGCCAGCACCTCACTTGATGACCCCAAAATTCAGTTCAGTAAGAAACCGCCAGGTAGTGAGAAGGAACCCTGCTTCCCTGCCCCCCACCATGAAATAAGGCCCATTTGGGGTGCCTTTCCATTCACACAAAATTCACCTCGAACCCTGCTCCGAGGACCCAGATAAAACGGCTAATATCAGATGAGCTTCACGCTCGGAATACCACACAAGGTTCTGGTCACTGAACCTCCGAAAGGACATTGCAGAGGGGGTAGAAAGGGGCAGCCAGAGGATCGCGGGGCCGCCCTCCCCCCCCCGCAAAGGTGCACCAGGGAAAGGCGAGAGCAGAAACAGGCAGGGGAGGCATGCAACAAGCCGCACGGTGTGGAGAAAGCAGGCAGGGAAGCACAAGGAACCTGCATGGCAAGCGGAGTGGAAGCCGGCTATTCTGGGGGCTGGCCTGTGCCAACTCCTTCCAAGAAAACCGAACAAAGGGTTACGTTTGCTCAGGCCCCTCTGGGCCTCTGTTCCAAGGAAACAGGATGGAGCCTTTCACAAGAATGACCCCCCGGGCAGCCTCTCCGGACCAGTAGGGAGCCCGGGAGCTGGAAGGAACAGGCGGCTCACCCAGAGCAAGGACCCACCAAGGCTTTGGAGGCCCGAAAACAAAGCTGCGTGCGCCTCGACACAAACAAGCCCGGAACTGCCC